AGGAGGAGGAGGAGGAGGAGGAGCGAGGAGAGAGGAGGAGGAGGAGGAGGAGGAGGAAGGAGCGAGGAGCGAGGAGGAGGAGGAGGAGGAGGAGGAGGAGAGGAGGAGGAGGAGGAGGAGGAGGAGGAGGAGGAGGAGGAGCGAGGAGGAGGAGGAGGAGGAGGAGGAGGAGGAGGAGAGGGAGGAGGAGGAGGAGGAGGAGGAGGAGGAGGAGGAGAGGAGCGAGGAGGAGGAGGAGGAGGAGGAGGGAGGAGGAGAGGAGGAGCGAGGAGGAGGAGAGGAGGAGGAGGAGGAGAAGAGGAGGAGGAGAGGGAGGAGGAGGAGGAGGGGGAGCGCGAGGTGGTGCGCTCACCGAGCTCATGGCTCGGGGCTGGGGCTGCGACAGGGAGGAGCGATCTGTGGGGAGAACGGGGTGGATGGAGAAGGGGCACGGGAGAGAGGGAGGAGAGCTGTGGGAGGGAGGAGAGGAGAGACACGAGAGACACGAGAGACACGAGAGGAGGGGATACGAGTGAGTGGGGAAGGAGGGGAGGGAAGAGAAGAGCAAGGAGGAGCAAGGGAGGTGGAATGAGCAGGAGGGGGGAAGGAGGGAGGACCGATGAGGATGGATGCTGGGGGAGGGCGAATTGGTGCGCCCACAAGGCTCACGGTTTGGGGGGGTGCGTAACTCGCCGTTCTAGGAGACCTCCCAGTTTGGGGGGGGGGCGCCCTTTCGCCGCGCGTTCGAGGGCAGCCGTTCGCGCCGCGCTCGCAAGCCACGCTCCCATCTATGAACCCGACGCACGCACCGACTGCAGACGAGCGTGTTCCACGACTCGCAAAACAACTGCTCGCAAATGGCCTGGATCCGGCAGTGGGGTTTTACGATACGTTACATCGATGCAGGCATGTGCTCTTCGGACCTTTGCGGGTAGGCACTTTGCGAGTAGTGGAACGCGCTTGGCGATGTATGCACCTGCTCAGCGCACCGTCCAGATGTCTCCAAGCCTCGACGCCAGTCCCGCGCCGCCGCCGACGGCGCGGACGACGACGACGACGACGACGATGATGGCGACGACAACGACGACGACGACGACGACGACGACGACGACGACGACGACGACGACGACGAGGGCAGGCCGTACCTGCAGCACGAGGGTATGCTGCACCTCGGCCTGCAATCTCGTGACTCCGCGGCGCTCCGGGAGCGGCTGCGGGAGGAGGAGAGCGGCAGTACTTGTTGGATATTCCCCCTGTAGAGGGACACGCCCGACTTTGAAGGGGCCCCAGGACACACAAATAAATACACAAATAAAAAGATTCCCTATCTTTTCCTATATGTTTGGGGTTTTTGTCTTCCCCCCCACTTCCCATATTTTTGCATATTTTCCTGGGAATCGGCGATGAATTGTGTCTGTGTGTTGTTCCCCTCCTGAGACTTAACGGCGGCAGGAGCAGCAAGCGGCACCGGCACCGAGCTCGAGGCACGCGCGGCGTCGACGCGTGTGCGAGAAGCTCGTCGGCGAGCGAGGGGGGAAGTGAGAAGTGAGAAGGAGAATAGGGGGCCACATGCGAACCCTACCCCTACCCCCCACGATTTCTGAGGGGGAGGGTGGGGTTCACTTCGTCTGGGAGCTCCCGAGCGAAGTGAGCCCCACCCTCCCCTCAGAAATCGTGGGGGGTAGGGGTAGGGTTCGCATGTGGCCGCCTAGAGAAGGCCTTCTCAGAAGGCGGCAGGACTTCTCAGAAGCCCTCGCGCCTTCTGAGAAGATTGCTGTCTTCCGGGAAGGCTGAGAAAATTCCTCAGCAGGCCGGGGGACTTCCGCACCTTCTGACAAGGCCATCTCGTTCTCACTTCCCCCCCTCGCTCGCCGCCGACAAGTTAGAAGAAGAAAAAGCATAAACGTAAACTTTTGGCGCTCCGCGCGGATTTCCTGGATCTGCGCTGCCCCCCCCTCCCTTGCGCGCGGAGCGCGCCAGGGGCGGCGCTGGACGGAGGCGCCGCCGGGGGCGGGGGGCCCGGCGCGGATCCAAGAAACCCGCCCGCGCGGAGATTATCATTATTATTAGCATTCATCTTCTTATTACTACTCTTCTTAATATTATTAATATTATTCGAAGGAGAATGGCTTCTCCGAGCTGTTCAACAAGCTCGAGGGCGCGCAAATATAGATTAGCGATCCATGGAGTCGGCGCGCGGTCGCCACCTCCATGGATCGGGGGAAGTGCCCTCCCCAAAGCGCGGCTGGTGCCGCCTCGTTCGGCGGCGGAACTCCACGATTCCCCATGGAAACGGGAACCCCGACGCAAATCCATGCCACCGTGATCCATGCTTGCGATCGCCTGACGCGTGGGGCGGGGGGGGACGACGAGGAGGAGGAGGAGGAGGAGGAGGATGAGATGAGATGAGATGAGACGGCTCCCAGGAGGATAGTCCGAGGAGAGAGGGGCCAGCCCGAAAAACTTGTGGGGGCGGGTGCACCTTCGGGGGGAGATTTTGTGAGGCCGAGAATGGTGGACACTTGCCATTCTCGGCGCTCGCGACAGGTGCACCCGCTCCGAGAAACTTAAACCTGGCGGCTGTTCTCGCGAGCTCGAACCCGCTCCAGCATGCGAGCCATTCGAGCTTCGTACGGGATTGCACTGTCGACCGAGTATTCAATGACTGACGTCGACGCTCTGACATCCCGCGCACTAGCCACTGTGGGTGGGGGGGGCCTCGCGCGGGGGGCGAGGGAGCGGGCTATCCTTCGCGGGGGCGCGGGGGGGGGGGATCGCTTGACGGGGTGGCTCTCTTCGGTGGGCGTGGCGTGGGGGGGGGGGGGGGGGCGGAACGGGCCGTCGGGCGAGGCCGGCACGGCGGGGGTGCTCATCAAATCACCTGCAGTAAGAGGAGGCAAAAGCAAAGGGAAGAGCAATATATATATATATATATATGTGCGTGTGTGATACCGGACACCAGCCCCTATCATAATATGTTGAGGACTATAGGGCTCTGGGGCTATAGGGCTGTAGGGCTGTAGGGCTACAGGGCTGCAGGCATATAGAGCTGTAGGGCTATAGGGCTACAGGGCGATTGGGCTATAGGGCGATTGGGTTATAGGGCTATAGGAATATATGGTTTTAGGGCTATGGGGCTATGGGACTACAGGGCTATAGGGCTATCGGGCTATAGGGCGATAGGGCTATAGGGCTGTAGCGCTATAGGGCTATGAGGCTATAAGGCTATAGGGCTATAGGGCTATAGGGCGATTGAGCTAGAAGGCTATAGGGCTACGGGGCTATAGGGCTATAGGGCTATAGGGCTATCGGGCTATAAGGCACCCGGGCACCTGGGCACCCGGGCACCAGGGCACCCGGGCGGGCCGCGGAAATCGGCGGCAAAGCTCACCTAACCATATGAATCCGCTAGGACCCCATACAGAGGCAAGTTTTGATTGGGGAATATATATTTGTTTGTATGTGCATACATATATGTATAAATATATATATATATACACAGATATGTCTGTCTGTCTGTCGGTCTGTCTGGCTGGCTGTCTGTCTGTCTGGTTGGCTGTCTGCCTGCCTGCCTGTCTTTCTGTATGTATGTATGCGTATGTATACGCAATAATCCAGCGACCCCCGCTGGCCGGTGGTGGAAAGGCGTGTGAGGTGATCGGCTGTACCAATCCCCCTTTCCCCCTCCCCCCGGGGTCCAGAATGTCGTTGGAGGGGGGGGGCCCGGGGGGGCGGGGGACGAGCTCCCACATAGACGCATCCCCGGGGCCCCTGGAGCCTCTCCAGAGCCCCCAAGACGCCTCAAGATGGCCCAAGAGGGCCCAAGCGAAACGCCCAGACAGTCCAAGAAAGCGCCGAGATGGCCCAAGGTGGCCCCACGGGAAAACGAAGCAGGCTTCGAGAAGGCCCACGACGCGCCCAGAACGGCTAAAGGTGCTCCCGAAGGACCGCGGGGAGGGCCCCAAGAAGCGAAAGTCTTTTTCCATCCCTCAGGAACACGTGCTTTTTCAGTGTACTCACCTTTTGCGTCTTGAGAGCGTCCAAGACGGCCCAAGGGGCTCCCAAGATCGTCCCAAATTCGCCCAAGACGGCCCAAGAGGGCCCCAAGACGGCCCCAGGGCCCCCAAGACGGCCCAAGAGACCCCCAAGAGAGGCCCAAGCCAGCCCCAGGGGCTCCCAAGACGGCCCAAGAGAGCCCCGAGAGAGGCCCAAGAAGCTAAATCCGAACTGGCATGTCCAGTCTTTCCCCCTAAGATGGCCCCAAGGGCACCCCAGAAGCCTCTCTAGCCCCCCCCCACGGGGCCCCAAGAGCCCTCCAAAAGGCCCCCAAGAGAAGAGGCACCAAAAATCCCCAGGTGCCTCGACAAACGTTCCAAGAGACTCGTGAGAGGCATCCCAAGAGACTCCAACATGCCTTCAAGATTTTCTCGCCCTGTCTGTGCTTTCTTTGGGGGGTCGGCGGTATGACGTAAGCCTATTGAACATTACGAAGCAGAACACCTGTCCGATTTGTACAGGGACGTTGTCTTAGGAGGTAGCCGAAAGCCGACGGGTCTCAACATTACCAACGTCGCTGCCCCGGAGAGCTTGACAGCTACTCCTGGAGCTCGATGACGGCGTCCGCACGAAAGTACCTACTCATCGAAAGCCCTCCCTGGTCAAAGGTATGGCCCAAGACAAGAACTGACGACGAGGTCAGGAGCCTGCCCTGAGCAGGCGTTGAAAAACAAGAACCTGAAGTCAAGGACCAGATGGGCACGCCGAAATTCAGCCGCCTCTGAAAAGTTTGACAATTACGCATGCAGATGACAACAATCGGCTGGCAAGATGGGGCCCAACACAGCCATAAAGGAGACGGTGAAGTACACTGCAGGTGCAGATAACAAGGCCAGATGATCGAATCAAGGACAAACCCATGCATTATGTATGCTGTTTGGGGAGGAAAGTCCCACCAGCACTTTAGAACGTGAGCGGTTTAGGGCGCTTCTTCTTCCAACCTCCTTCTTCCCCTTCGGGGAGGAGTTATCACTGTTCCAGATTGATACACACACACACCCTCCCACACCCGACCGGCAGCCAACCCGGACCCATGAGGGCACCCATGCGGCCCACCACCCCTCCCACCATCCCTGCCAAAGCACATACAAAAGACCATTTGCCTCTAAATTTGGAGCATGCGCAGACGCCCCGCGATCTCTTTGCATTGGGTCTTGACAGGGACGGCGGGGGTGCTGGCATATTGCTTGATGCGCGCAGGTTATCACCCCCCCTCGGCGGCGAGCCAGGGGGGAAGTGAGAAGGAGGCCTTCCCAGAAGGCTCGGAAGCCCCCCGGCCTTCTGAGAAGTTATCTAAGCCTTCCCCGAAAACACAGAAAATTTCTCAGAAGGCGCAAGGGCTTCTGAGAAGTCCGCCGCCTTCTGGGAAGGCCTTCTCCATCTCACTTCCGCCTCTCGCTCGCCGCCAACCCCCACCACCCCTTGCACAAAAACAATACGAAGAGCACTTTGCACCAAAATCTGGATCATGCCCGGACGCCAAACGGACGGCCTTGAGGGGGAGGCAGCACATCGCCTGCTGTGTGTAGTGCACAAACAGACACCAAACTATCCCGTGCAAAAACGGCACAGAATGCATGTGTCGCCAAAATCTGGATCATACGCGGACGCCTCGCGCTCGCATTGCTCTGGTTTTTGGCAGGGATGGAGGGGGGTGCTGGCATATTGTCTGCAGTGCGCAAGCCCGCCATCCCTTTCACATTTTGTGTATATATATACACTAGAAACATCGCGCGCGCTTCGGGCGCGCTCAAGTTCTAGCTAGGATCCTCGTAATCGTCACGGTCGCCGTCCTCATCGCCACCACCTTCATCGTCATCGTCATCGACATCGTAATCATCACAATCACCATCACCATCAACACCATCATCATCACCACCACCATCAGCAACACCATCGTCATCACCGTCGTCATCATCGCAATCGTCATCATCGTCATTATCGTCACCCGCATCACCATCATCATCGTCATCCTCGTCATTATCATCATCATCATCATCATCATCATCAGCATCATCATCATCATCATCATCATCATCATCATCATCATCATCGTCATCGTCGTCATCGTCGTCGTCATCATCACCATCGTCATCGTCATCGCCATCATCGTCGTCGTTTTCGTCATCGTCGTCCTCGCCCTCAGCATCCCCCCCAAGACCGAGCGTCTTGGTAACTGGGGTTGTGGACCTGAGGCCGCCATGCCTGGGTGATGGGCCAGTGGCCTGCTGGATGCCTGTTCGGATATGGGTGGTGAAGTTTTTCGGAGGCCTCTTGGAAAGCTCTAGGGGGCTCTTGGGTACTTCGTGGTTGCCTCTTGGGGCCCCTTGGGAGTCTCCGCATCGTCATCATCCTCCTCCTCATCATCATCAGCGTGGTCGTGGATATCGTCGTCAGCATCATCACAACCATCACGATCACCATCACCATCATCATCGTCACCTTCGTCATCATCATCATCGTCATCATCAGCATTTTGTGGGGCTTGTAAGAAAGTACTTGAGGGCCCATTCGAGTCCTGCTTCACGGGCGCTCTGGGGCAGATGATGCGCGCGGGGGGCGGAAGCCTGAGGAATCATGTTATCGGAGAGCTCTCTGGTAACATGATGGCGTGTATGAGGGTTCATTGGGGGGCTGCCCGGCAAGCATTTTTGTACGCATGGTTGGGGCTGGAGGCAGAAGCCTGAGGAATCATGTTCCCGGAAGGCTTCCTGGGAACATGATCTGTTGGGGTGTCGTTGGGCGCCTCCGCGTTTCCGCGCGTGGCGGCAGGTAGCGCTGCTTGGGACTCTCGCTTTTTTTCCTGGCAGGCGTTTAGGGAACATGGTTTGGGCAGAGGGCGGCAACCCGAGAATCATGTTCCCGGGAAACTTTCCAGGAGCATGATTTGTTCGGCTCTCTTAAGAGGGGGGCCTCTTGGGGCTTACCGAGGGGCCCCTTTTGGCCTTGTCGGCAAGCCTATTGGAAACATGGTTGGGGCGGTGGGCGGAAGCCCAAGGAATCATGTTCCCGGAAAGCTGCCTGGGAAATACGATTTACCGAGGTGTCTTAGGGGCCCGCAGGGGGCTTCCCTGGGGGCCCGCCGAAAAAACAATACACTTTGCCTCCGAATCTAGAGCATTCGCGGCCGCACCACGACCACTTCGCATTGGTTTTTGACAGTGACGGCGGGAGGGCCCTCACATTGCTTGCTCCGCGCAGGCCGACCATCCCTCAATAACAATACGAAATACATGTTGCTTCCAAATCTAGAGCATGCGCAGGCGCCCCGCGACCAATTTGCATTGGCAATTGATAGGGATACTCGAGTGCTACTGATGTGTTGGAAGGGCGGGTTGGAGTGAGCGAGACGGTTTGTGCCTTGTGGGCAGGATGTGTCTTGATCACTGCTCTCTGTTGATGAGCACTCCCTCCCCCAGGCGACCAGCAGCCAACCCGAACCCATGCGGGCACCCATGCCACCCCCCCAACATCCCTGTCAAAAACAATACCAAATACACTGTGGGCCCGCGAGCACTTTCTACTGTTGGAAAGGACGGCGGGGATGCCAACATATTGCCCGCTTCGCGCAGGGCCACCATGCCTGTTAAGAAGCAATACGAAGCGCATTTCGCAGCTTTACCTGGATCATGCGCGGCCACCCCGCGATCACTGCCCATTGGCTTTTGGCAGGGACGGCGGGGGAGCCGGCATATTGCCTGCTATGCCCAGGCCCACCAGACACCATAATGGCCACCCCGCCGCGATTGCTCATTGGTTTTCGACAAGGATGGATGGTGGGGCCAACATATGTCCCGATGTGTGTTGTCACGTGCGCGGGCGCGCCTGGCACACCCTGCGCGTGCCCCGAACGTGTCGCACCCGGCGCGGCTGGAGCATGCGGCAAACATGGCACACATGGAGCACGTGGCGCATCTGGCTCACCAGGCGTGCCTGGCACGCTTGGGCCCCAGAGGTGCCTGGCGCACCTGGCGCGCGTGGCGCGACTAGCAAGCGTGGCGCACCTCGCCCCAGCGTCGCGCACATGGGTTCTGTGCTGGTGGTTCCCAGTAGCTGTCCATCCGAAGACGATTGCTGACCATGCTGAGGCTCGGGTGCTACTTCTGTGTTGGGAGGGCGGGTGGGAGCGTGCGAGACGGCTTGCGGGCTGGAGGTGCCTTGACACCCCTGCCCCTGGGTCTGTTGGGAAGGGGCCGCGACACATTAGAGCCCCCCATTGGAGCGTCCAGGAAGGCCTCGGCGAGAAGGCACAAATCAGTGATTTGACTTAGGTTTGGGGGCCATATGAGCCTCCTGGAGGGGGGATGGGGGGGGGGGGGGGCAACGCTAATGAGCTCCCCCTTCTTTGATCGATAGCCTCCCAAATGGCCCCAAGACTGCCCCCAAGGCTCCGAACAGCGCCCCTAGAGGGCCCCAACAAGTCCCCAAGAGGCTCCCCAAGAGACCCCGAAGAGGCCCCAAGAGGCTCCCCTGAAGCATTCAAGACGCTCCAAGAGAACATCAAGAGGCTCTCAAGAGACATTCGAAGAGACTCCGACGAGAGGCATCCAAGAGGCCTATGGCCTTTCTGCTCGCCGTCCACCTCCTCTTCCTCCTCCTCCTCCTCCTCCTCCTCCTCCTCCTCCTCCTCCTCCTCCTCCTCCTCCTCCTCCTCTACTCCTCCTCCTCCTCCTCCTCCTCCTCCTCCTCCTCCTCCTTCTCCTCCTCCTCCTCCTCCTCCTCCTCCTCCTCCTCCTCCCTCCCTCCCCTCCCTCCTCTCCTCCCTCCCTCCCTCCCTCCTCCCTCCCTCCCCCGCCCCCTCTCTCCTCCTCCTCCTCCTCCTCCTCCTCCTCTCCTCCTCCTCCTCCTCCTTCTCCTCCTCCTCCTCCTCCTCCTACTCCTCCTCCTCCTCCTCCTTCTCCTCCTCCTCCTCCTCCTCATCATCATCATCATACTCCTTCTCCTCCTTCTCCGAGTCCTCCTCCATCCTCCCCCTCTTGGCGCATTGACGTCTTACCCAGCCCTTCCTTCCACCGCATGCTCTTGCGCATCCCAGATCGGCGCTGGCGGGGTTACGCGAAGCGCCTTGAATATCCCAGAAAAGAGGGGGCATAAGGAAAAGGATCCCCATTAGGAGCGGTCAGCACACACACACACACACACACACACACACGCACACACGCTCACACGCTCACACACACACACACATACACATACACATACACATACACATACACATACACACACTCACACTCACACATACACACACACACACACACTAGAGGTCTCCTAGATAGGGTCGGAGTCGATGGAGTCGGAGGATTGCGGCGCATCGTCGATACCTCGGCGATGCATCGGCGATGCGCCGGCGATGCAACGTCAACGTCGGCGATGCATCAGCGACGTCGTGAAGCAAATCGGGCTGCACATCAAGCCGCATCGGCGATGCATCGGCGATGCGCCGCGATCCTCCGACCCAATCCACTCCGACCCCATCCGGGAGGCCGGGACACACACACACACACACACACAGAATGCGACGGGGCGGATGAGGGCGGGCAGAGAAAGCGGCCTCCTGGAACCGGTAGAGCTGAGGGAATTCCGCCGGGAAGAAAGGCCTCCCACACCGGGCACTGCCCCCCTGGCGAAGCCAGTCGGACCCAGGTCAGAAGAACATCCCTCAACAACATGAGACCACCCGCCGGTCAAAATACACTGAACATCCAAGGGTACCCTCCCCAGGGTGCACAAGAGCATCCAGCAAGCACGAAGAACAGTAGGGTGCACTCCCCGAACCGACCTCGATATTCTACCTCGGTCCGACTGTAGAGGAGAAAGAGCAACAAAGTGAAGCCAGAGAAAGAATTGCCAAAGCGCGTGGGGCGTGGCAGCAGCCGAGATGGTGGCAGCAGCGGATTTGCAGCCGAGCTTGGGACTTGACGAAGTCAGACACGAGGAAAACGAAGAGGGGCCAGACCCCCTTGGCGGCGCGCAGAAGGGGGTGGGGGGAGGGGGGGGAAGGCTGCTCAGAAGGGGTCTGCTTCTTAGCAGGTGCCGACCTTACATGTATAGAGAAGGCCCGCGCCTTCTAATCAGGGGCGCGCAAACATGGACTAGCGATCCATGGATTTGGCGCGCGGTCACCAAACCCATGGATCGGGGGAGGTGCCCTCGCCAGAATGCGGCCGGTGCCGCCTCGTTCGGCGGCGGAAATCCGGGATTTCCCACGGAAACGGGACCCGTCGTTAATCCACGCCCCCGTAATCCATGTTTGCGATCGCCTGATCTAAGAAGCAGGGGTGCTGCTAAGAAGCCTTGCCCCCAGCCCCTAACCCGCTGTGCGCGGGGCCAGACCTCCAGACATCCTGGCGCCTCGAAGCGCCAACGCCTGGAACGCTCAACCCTCTCCCCGAGACTGGGCACGCGCGTGACGGCCCCAAGGCCAGCAAAGTGTGTATATATACATATACATACACATACTCATATACATATACAAATAGATATACATATACATATATATATATACATGTGCAGATACAAATACAAATATAAATACCAATACAAATACAAATACAAATACATATACATATACATATACATAAACATATACCTATACATATACATATACATATACATATATATACACATACGTATACATATACCTATACATATACATATACATATACATATACATATACATATACAATTATGTGCATGCATAGACATACATGTGTGTGTCTATACCTATATATACATCGATACACATATACATACACATATGCATACATCTAGACATATACATAAACACATACATATACATATACATAGACATAGACATAGACACATACACAAACACATACACATACACGTACATACACATAGACTTATACATCTGCGTATACATACACACATGCCTATACATCTACGTATACATACACATACACAAATAAATCTACATGTGTGTGCATATACATGTACAAGTACACATACCTATACATATATCTATACATATACACATACATATACCTATACATATACGTAAACAAATACATATACATTTACACACGCAACTACATATGCATACACATATACGTAGAAAATAAACGTACTCATGAACATATGCATCCGCAAATAAATATACAAACATATTTATATATATACTGAGAGAGATCCACAGACAACTACATGCACGGCCACCCGTCGGTGATGAGGAGGTTGGGGGCTGGGGGGAAGACCCAGCTGCTGACAGATGCGATGGGTGTGACGATGACGATGCTGGTGACGCGCCCTCGAGTTAGCGACGACGCGTGATGACGATGTTGCGCTGCGATGCAATGTCACTACCGTCCCCGCTTTCGATCTCACTCGATCGATCCTACGATCGACCTCACAGGATCGATCACACTCGATCGATCTCACTATAGATCTCACGATCGATTTCACTATGGAACTCACTATTGATCTCGTTGTCGATCTCACTGTCGATCTGACTAGCGATCTCACTATCGATTTCACGATCGATCTCGCAACCACTGTCACAATCAACCTCACTGTCGATCTCACTGTTGATCTCACGATCCATCCCATTCTAGCCATTTCATGATCGATCTCACTATCGACTTCCCTATCGGTACCAAGGCGAGACAACCCTAGCCACCGCCCGCCCACCGCCAACAGAACACAGACGGGACACCAACAGGACACCACAGGACACCACGGCGGGACACCCCGGGCCACCGCGCGCCCAGCGGGGGCGGAGGCGCGGTCCACTGAATCCGCATCGCCCTAGCGACGGCGGGTCATTCCTCTCGCGCGCCCACGCAGCTTCGCCTCGCCCGCACGCACGACACGAACACGAAACCGAATCCGATCTCCCAGTGGGGGGCTCTCCATTCCACTGCGATCTCACCCCCAACCTCCGATGTAACCATATATCTATATATCCATACGTATAAATGTGTGTATATCATATACACATTTCCATGTACATGTACATATACAGACATACAGACATACAGACATACAGACATACAGACATACAGACATACAGACATACAGACATACAGACATACAGACATACAGACATACAGACATACAGACATACAGACATACAGACATACAGACATACAGGCATACAGACATACAGACATACATACATACATACATACATGCATGCATGCATGCATGCATGCATGCATGCATACCTACAAACATACATACATACCATTCCGCATCCATATCCATATCCATATCCACCGCTTGCTGAGGTCCCCGAAGATCGATCCGCCAGGCGGTGGTGACGGACAAATCCCCGCCTCGGAGAGCAGAGATCGGCATGGCAAGCCCGACTGCGCTCCCAAGTGACCCACCATGCACCATGCGGGCCGCGGCGCCACAGCCAAAAAAACAATACAAAGAGCGTCCCCCCCCCCCAGGAGCGGCGCGCCCCCGTTCGAGATGCGGCGCCCGGTGGCGGCGACGGATGCCTGAAGGGAACTGAAAAGGATACCAGCACCCGCCGCTACCCCCCAAACCTCTGACTACCTACCAGACCCAGCCCGACCCAACCTGAAAACCCTAATCTCGGGTTGGGGGCGAAAATGTTCCACTGTGTTGTTCCGTGTACTGGAATGCTCGCCCACTGGGAATGGAACCATCGGGTACAGCAGGCGCCCGACCACAAGAAACCTTCCACAAAAAACCCAACCCTGAGACCACAGGACGTCCATTCATTTTCGGTGTGGGAACGTCACGCTTTCCATCGCAAAACCATGGAAACCCAAGAAACTCAGGGCACCCTGGAGGCAAGCAGGGTGTTTCTTGGCACGGGTCTCAACTGTAGGGTAGGGGCAGTTTGATGGGCAGTGAGCCTCTCTCCGGGGCGCCTCTCCCTACAGTCAAGATCAGCGACAAAGATGGAGCCCAAGGGTGCGAAACCCTTGGAACGGCGCGAAAGCCGAAGACGCGCGCGCCCTCGTCCTCCTCCTCCTCCTCCTCCTCCTCCTCCTCCTCCTCAAGCAATTCTGGCTCGAGCGCGCATTTTGCAGCACTCAGCCAGTCCCTGCGCCGTCACGAGGTGCTTGGGGGACAGCGGGCCGCCCGTCTCCAGGTAGACAGTCGATTCCGTTGACGAAAGCAGGGAGGAATGGCATCGAACCCGTCCCGCCCATGGTCGTGCTGCGCTCGATGTCACACGTATGAAAACAACGACATCCTGGCAGCAGCTAACAACCAATGTGCGAAGTGTAGGTGTTCAGTCAAGATCTACAAGCCAAAGCCCTCTCGCAAAACCAATGAATTTTCTCAAAGTAGCGATAATCAGCTGGCCCAGATCCATGGCACAGCCGACAAGACGAATGGCGTGTCCACCGCAGATCAGGCGAGGCAGGTCGAGGCTCTCTTGTCGCAGATGCTACGAGGCACGCAGGACCTCGGTCAGAAGAAGATGTTGCTCGAACAGATGCAGTCGTTGAAGGCGTTCGGCCCTCCAGCTAAGCCCATCTCGGCGGACGACGCGGTCAAGAAGGCCACGTCCAGCTGGAAGGATACCGCATTCAAACACGAGCAGGCTGTCAACCAGGTTCTCAAGCTCAAGGAGAACTTGCAGGCAGCCGAGGCTAAGGAAGTCGAGGCTGCCAAGACACTGGCGCTCGCGGAGCACCAGAGGAAGTTGGCCACCAGGGCATTGGCGCAGGAGGCAGGCGTGCTTCCAGCGCAGGCGTCCAAGGCGCGGGAGGAGAAGACTGCCACCTACGACATCGTCTGGGACGAAGACTTCTTCGCCCAACTGGACAGCTACGAGCGCGAGGAGAGCGAGCGGACCGAGCTTCGGACCACCGAGGCGGACTTGAAGCAGGCCCGCGAGACCTTGCACGACAAGGGAGGTAAAATCACAGAGTGGAAGGAGCGCATGCTGGCGTTGCAGGCGGCGGCCCAGACACGCATGGCCAAGAAGCGCAAGGGAGAGCCAAGCACCACCAAGCCCGACGCGGCGACCTGACCTGCGGCGGCACGACCAGCCAGCCCCACGCCACAGGCGGAGAGGGCTCGGGCGGCGCAGCCAGTGGCAGCAGCCAGCCCGCAGGCGGTCAGGCGGCAGCGGCGGCGGCAGCGAGCGCCGCCGAGAGCGCGCCCGCGCCACCAGAGGAGGAGCTCGAGGCGGAGGCCAAGAGGATCTCGGACGCAAAGTTCGAAGCGGTGCGCCTCGAGCGGGAGCCGCGCGCAGCCGCGGCCGCTGCAGGCACCGCGCCGCGAGGCGCCGGGGCGGCTACCGAACCTGCAGGTTGCCACGAGCCCGCGCCCAGCAGCCAGGCATCTGTGGCGACGTCGTCTTCGGCTACTCCGTCGCCGTCGGCTACTTCGTTGTCGTCTGAGGGCCCCCGCGCAGAGCCACCGTCTACGAAGACGGGCTCGCCTGGAGCCCAGCCCTTTTTGCCTGTTGCACACGATTGCGATCAGCCTGACAGCACAGCCATTTAGTTCGGTAATGTCCCATGTTGGGGAGAGCAAGCGTGGAAGTATCTTTTGGGCCAACGGTACGAGACAACGGCTTCAATTTTGCGGCATTGTAGAGACGCCCCTTTTAGAATCTCGCGTCAGCGAGTGGACTGGTAAGATTCGGCAACAGAAGTTTCGGTCGCTTTTTAATCACCCCAGGCTTGAGCACGGCAGTGACAGCCAGAAAGCTCGCGAGAAGGGAGGTGAGCTCTTTCTTGCGCCAGGGCACGTTCATGTCGAACGTTTGGGGACGGCGCGGCAGTTCCCTGAGCTTGCCTCTCCTCAGTGTGAGTCTTTCGACGGCTTTCTCCCCGTGGTGCTTCACATGTCTGGGCATAGCATAGTTCTTATTATATACTACGGGATTCCCTCTCTAGGATTTCCTGGGGCAAGCACTCAGAGACTAGCACGCTTAGGGGCGCTGCTGGAATCTTTAAAGTGGCCCTGGGCCGCCATATGGGGATTTCAACATTAGCCCCGCTCAGCTAGCTAAATGCAGGTTTATAGATAAAGTAGGCGGCGCTGTGTTCACACGCGGGGAAGAACATACCTGCGTGACGGGGTCTGGGAGCTCACACATTGATTTCCTCCTCACATCCAAGTCTGCGTGCCCGCACATACTCAAGCTGGAGCCTGTGCTGGACGCCCCATGGGGGGCCCACTGCGGACTCAGCCTAGTTTTGCGCAGTGCGGGCATGCAGTTGATCACTCGGCCCCTCCTCCTCGCCTCCAAGCTCCCGCAACTGCCCAGGCCCCTGGCCAAGCCACAACCCAATTCGAAGTCGCAGCAGGCCAAGTTGACCAAGCAGCAGCGTAGGACTGTTTTTGTTCTGAAAAGTCTAGCGAAGCCTGCGTTCGGTTCTTCGGGGACCTGCTGGATCCCAAGGGTCAAGAAGCCTCTGGGGAATCGTCTCAGGAAAGCCCCACGGACTCCGAGGACCCTTTTAGTGCCGCTTTCAACGAGCCTGACAGTTGGGCCGAAGAGCCTGACCCTGGGCCGAGGATATCCCAAGGCCGCCTGCCCAAAATAGTGCCCCCAACCCCGAGGTCCCCAGTCGAGTCGGCTGGGGCTAGTCACCATTGTAATGATAGTCAGCCTTCCTACCACATCCCCCCTCACTTGTGGGACAGAGTCAGGGGCGATGTTGGGTTCACTAGTCAGATTCAAGAGGATGCGCGGCCAGTCACCGGGGATAGTATGGTTTTCAAAGTTGGGGGCAGCATATTTTACATATCAGCGGGCTTTATGCTTCATGGGTTCGCACCGTCGACGAGGCGCATCGGCGGCATCAGGACGAATGGGAACCTCAAGGGCGCTCGGGGGCTCAGGGGCCTCAACTTGTCGTGCACCTGGTTCAGACAGCTGAGCACTTGGGAGATGAGCCGCTGGCTGATCAGACTGCATCGTGGCGGGCTCGGATCCATACGGTCCTGCAGCGCTGCCACCGTCATCGTGCACGTAATAATGGGTCGATACAAGTCGCTCGTCTCATCGCGCTAGCTCGCAGTCTTGCCCAGGATCTTCCAGGTGGGGGTTCGGCGGTGTTCATTCCTGGGAAGAAAACTTGTCGCGGGAACACTGGGAGCACAGGCCTCAGGATATCAACTCGCTTTCTCTGGACATGTTGGATGACATGGTGCAACAAGCAGGTAAGATAGCACAGCGCGCCCGTCGGCAGGCCATGCAGGCGTCCATTCGGAAGCTTCAAGACTGGATTGTGCAAGAGTCCTCCCTTGGCGCTTTGCATCGCTGTCTTCGTTCATCACCGCAGGCTGCCGACGAACTTTACCACGAGGGTCAGCGGCTTCATCATCCCAGGAATATTGTTGATGCCAAGGTTTCGCATTGGCACAAGCTTTGTGCCCCTGAGGCCATTTCCATGGAAGTCGTTCAGGACACGTTTCAAACGATTAGGCGGCATGCGGAAGTCGAGCAGTTAGTTCCTTTGACGGCCCCAGCATTGAGAAAGGGGCTCGCTCAGTAAGATGCGTCCGCGCGCGGGTCTCGGCGTAGATCGCATGACCCCTCTCGATTTTGAAAGGCTCCCAGATGCGGGGTTCGCGGAACCAGCCACTATATATACTAGTATTGAATCAAGTCTTACTTGGCCGTGGCAAACCCTTCTGGTCCTGGGCCGTCTTATTCCCAAAAAATCGTCGGGGAACAGGGCGATCGGGTTGCTTACGATGTTCTCGCGATTGTGGGGTTTATGTCGCGACGACCTTGCCAAGGATTGGGCTAGTGACACTAACCCTAAGCGGGGCGCTGCGATAGCTGAGAACTCACCCATGCACGAAGCGTTCACTAAGGTAGTTGATGCCGAAATGTCTGCCAAGCTAGAGGTCACGCACGGCCAAGCCTTGCTCGATAAAGGAGGTTTGCATGATGGGATGAGGTGGTGGGGGCTCGCGCAGGCCGCTCTGAAGCTGGGGCCCCCTCCTGTGCTCCTCATGCTTGAACTGCACCTTTGCATCTGTCCTGGTCTTGTGTCCCAACTCGGCGCTCACTCTCTCGCCTTCGAACTACTCAGAGCATCGTGCAGGGATTGAGAAACGGAACTCGTCTGGCTAGGTGTATGACGTATCTTTTTGTTATAATATATATATATATATATAGATATATTGCTCACCCGAGGATGGGGGAACGCATATGGATTGGTGATGTATCGTTGGTTTCTAGAGGACCGCAGCAGAGCGTGAGGGAAGTTGCCGCTTTGTTTGAAGAAGAACACCTCGCCTCGGCTTCAAAAAGTATCGTCATCGCTTCCAACCATCAGATTGCCAAGTCTGTTGCTAAGTACTTGCGTGCTGGTGGCATCGATGTACAGCCAGTGTTGCAGACACCTTACTTGGGCATTGACCAGGGCACGGGGCAACGACATGCTCGGGCCACCAAGGGGCACCGGCAAAAGAAATCGGCTCCGCAGAACCACATCTTAAGGAAGTGTGCCAGGGCGTCGAAACGGTATCTCACGACCAAAAGAATGGA